CTACACAGAGAAACCCTGTCTCGAAAAACCAAAAAAAAAAAGACCTGACTTCTCAGACCTCAGAACTCTCAGCCTAGAGAGCAGCTGTCTCTTTAAAAGCCAGTGCCCTTCCTTTATCCTTCCTTTCAGCACACAGCTGGCCAGAAGCCACTTAATCAGACATGCCACCCAATCCTGCAGCCAGTCTGATAACAAGACTACTGTTGCATCACGGCCCAGATGGGAAAAGGGGAGAATGCTCTAAGGAGCAGTAAGGGTTAGCTGATAGACACAGCGGGGAGGCAGGAGACGCCTATGGAACTGGATTTTAAGGATGCTTTATTTAGAGAAGCCTTGCCATGAGATTGGATCAAAAGGTGGTCTGTGTGGGTATCTGCCTTGAAATACAAGCTCTAACACTCTGCCAAAGACCCCAAGGTTTCGTGCACACTTACTGATAACAGTGGCTTCTAGATGCCCAAAGAAATTATCCAACACTGAGCTAAACTAAAGCACCTGGATTGCTGTAGCAAATGAGGAAGAAGGGATTGAAAAGCCAAGAGAAGTGGTCCTCAGTCTGTGGGCTGCACGACCCTTTTGCAAGGTCGCGTATTAGATGTCCTGGCTATCAGATATTTATAGTGTGATTCATAACAAAATACAAATACATAGCAAAATTACAGTTATAGAATAGCAATGAAAATAATTTTGTGGTTGGGGAACTGAATGGGGAGCAACATGAGGAACTGTATTAAAGGGCAGCATTGGGAAGGTTGAGAAGCACTGGCCTAGAGAATGCTAGGGATGTAGAGTGTCTGCACGAGACCCTCAGATCAATTCCTAGTACCGTGTAAACCAGGCTTCATGGTACATGCCTGTTATCCCAGCACTCAAGGGGAGCAGGCAGAAGGATCAGGAATCAGAAGATGAAAGCCATGCTCACTTACCTTTGTAGCAAGTTTGAGACCAACCCAGGCTACATGAGACCCTGTCTAAAACAAAGCCCAGGGAGGGCCTGGAGAGGTAGTTCAGTTAGGCACTGGCTGCTCTTCTAGGAGGCCTGGGTGTGATTTCCAGCCCACAACCATCTTTAACTCCAATTCCAGGGGGACCTGATGCCCTCTTCTGGCTTCCATGCACACAAGTGGATCACATGTAACAGGTGCCCTGAACTTAACACATCTGACACCATGATTGAAGTGCTATTTAGGTCTTGGAACCCAGCATGTAGGCAGCACCACCTGACAAAATAAAATAAACAAACAAACAAATAAACAAAAACCACGAGAACAAAAACCTGATCCATCAAAGTCCATAGTTCAGGGAAAGTTCCTAAATGTTCTAACCTTGCTTTTGACTTCTGTAGTTCCTTTTCAAACTAACTGTTCTTGCTAATTGAGGTATGTCAACCAGGATATGGCTTTGTGCTTGAAAGCTCACCCTGAGAAACTCGGCTCAGGACTGCACTCAGGCCTTCATAACTTAGTGTAGCCACCAGCCAGCTAATAAAGACTCTGTATAGCTTGAACCATGTCCAAGTGGTCTTCTCTGTTGAATACCTCACAACACTCAGATTTTTTTTTTAATGTTTCAAATGTTCAAGGAAATGGGCCTACTGGAGAAAATATGCTGTTTGAGACAGGGTCTCACTGTGTAGCCTCAGCTGGCCTGGAACTCACTGTGTAGCCCAGGTGGCTTCTAACTCGGAGAGATCCACCCACCTCTGCCTCCTGAGTGCAGTGATTAAAGGTGTGCCTCTCCATGCCCAGTGAGAACATGCTTACTGAGGCAAGAAAATACAGTGAGAAAGGTGGATGTGCCCTGTAATCCCAGTTCTTAGAAGACTAGCGATACAGGAAGGTCCAAGATCTGTATAAGCTCCATAGCAAGACCCTGGAAAAACAGGAAGAAAGGGAGGGAAGGAGGAAATGTGAAAAGATATGAGACATCGTACCAAGAAACAAGCAATTAAGTACACGAGGTGGGGCAACACTGTCAATTAAGCACCTGGAAAGATCTCAAAAACCAGGTGGAAGGGCAGTACCCCCAGGGACTCCAGATGCAGGTGACACAGGATCCTAGACCTGGGCTGTGCCTGAAGCCTCGAGGGATGTGAGCCACAGCTTCAGGCAGCACATCTGATAGGACCAGGCGGTGCCTTGCCCCATGTCCCACTTCTGACCTGGACAGGCCTGGTCTCCTTTGACTCTGGTTGGCTCCTCCACAGGGATGACTGGCAAGGAGGTGAAGTGGACAGGGTGCATATGCCCACTCAGCTGGTCCCGCAAGCCGCATCATCACAGGTCCCTTCCTGCTGAGATAGATGGATCGACCTACCACACAGGTGTAAAACCGAAGAGCTCTGGATTAAAGGGCTCATTGAACAATACAGAGTCTTCCAGGCAAAAAGTGAAGGGCCAGTCCTGAGACAAATCCCCACAGCCACCAGCCCCTCAACCAGACAACACACAGGGAAATGTCTACTGGACCGAAGGGGCCACGGTGTCTCCTAACATTTCATTGGGAGAAAAATATCAAACGTTCATTTTAGTTCAAATTGTCTGTACACAAGACGGGCCAGACAATGACCAAGGGACAGTCCTGGAATAGTTCAGTTCCTAAAGAGAGGATTGCTACTTCTTGGTTGTTTGGTTCCCAAACCAGAATGCAACACGACTTTCATGGTTAACCTCCAGTGTCTTCCGCCAAAGGGAGTAAGAGAGCTCTTGTTCTGAGCCAAACGTCAGTAACCATGCCCGGAGAACACCGATTCAGGTTGACCGGAATGATGTGTTCCATGGTGGAGAGGTCACGTGAACGTCTGTAGTCACGGGACAAAAGAAAGTCGCAAAGCTCTTGTCAAATACAGTGGGGGGAACATCAGGGAGGCAGTTTCTGCAAAGCAGAAAACTTTACCTTGGGTTTCTGGTGTACCTGATGACATTCCTGGCTTGGTGGAAGCTACTGGTGTTCTGGATTAAAATGTTCCAAGACTCTTCTCTTAGCCTCAAAATGTTCCCTCAGATACAGAGGTTGGTAATGTTATGCAGGAGGTTAGCTCTGGGTGGGACCAACCAACAGGGCACCAAAGATGGGTCGGACTCACACACACACACACACACACACACACACACACACACACACACACTCATTGGTTAACCCCCTAAAGGCCTTGAAACAGTGCAGAGACAATGGTGGTGGTTGGCTGGTGGCTGAGATATAAAGATAGCGAACAGTCAAGTGGAGATAGATAGGCCAGCTCAGGCCAGGAAAAAAGTTAGCAAGCAGGCCCATGCTAGCTAGGCAAGACGGAAGGCGCTTTAAGATCTCCCATGTGCCGACAGCCGTCCCTTCCCCTGGTAAAATCTTCAACTTTAGGTGTACTTAAACCCTGTGCATATTCTTAAATTTCATATATTTGTATAAAATAGACTGAATTCTGGGTTAAAAGGCTTCTGAGAAAAGCATGCCCCTCTCCCTGAAGAACCAGCCTAGGGCAGGAGGGGAACAGAGTGGAGAAGAGGAATAGGAACCCCATGGCTGCCAGGGTGGAGGCTGTTGCCGCCTGGCTTAGCCTACCTTTTTTTTTTTTTTTTTGATGGGAGGGTACATTTATTTATTTTTTATGTATGTACATATGTGCATACATGTACACAGGTCACAGCATGCCTTCAGAATCAGAAGACAACAATTCTTCCACAAAACATAGGTCCTGGGGATTGGATTGAACCCAGGTCATTGGGTTTGGTGGCAAGTACCATACTTCATGGTAGTTCTAACTGAATTCTTGACACTTCCTCTACTACTGTGTCCCATCTGAATTCTTTTTCAGGAGCATAACAACCCAGACTGATGCTGGGTAGAGACCACAGGAAACTATAGACTCCTCTATAAACCAGTGATTCTCAATCTGTGGGTTGCGACCCCCTGCCAAACCTCTATCTCCAAAAATATTTACATTACCACTCATAACAGTAGCAAAATTATGGTTATGAAGTAGCAAAAAAAATTTTATGGTTGGGGGGGATCACCACATCATGAGGAATGGTATTAAAGGGGCGCAGCGTTAGGAAGGGTGAGAACCACCGCTACAAACAGTAAGTAGTAATTGGCTGCTACGGGGAATAGAGAGCCCTAGATGATTTGGGCTCTCAACCTGCAGCATTCCATTTCCCCATAGTCATGAAGTCCTGGTGTCAATCAACTGCAGAACCTTCAACATAAATGCGGCTCTAGGAAACTTCAGCTTAATTGAGCATACTAAAAAGAACACGAGTGGTTTGCCCTGTGTGGTCATGCACACCTGTAATCCCAGAATTTGGAAGGCGAAAGCAGGAAGATCAGAAGTTCAAGGTCATCCTTGGCTACACGAGACCTTTAAAAAACAAACAAAAAAGGGAATGTGCAGTGAACTCCACTGATCTTCTTCTACTCCTTTACTCTTTGCTTTCCCCTTTTCTACCTCTCAAGAGTGCAGCTGTGGCGGTAGAGCACATCTGCACTTCCATCACTCAGTGGCAGGCAGATCACTAGTTTACACCAGCCTGGTCTACAGAGTGAGGCCCGGGTCTGCCTGGGCTATGTAGCTTGACACTGTCTCAAGAAAAAACAAAACTGCCCAACTCAGATCTCAGATCTTTTCCAGCAGGGCTCCACCGCCATATCTAGGAAGCACTGTTCTCCCCTAGGAAGCATGTGGTCTAACACAGAACTGGGCCAAAAGGCAAGGCGGAGTCCAGGTTGAGTGTGTGAGATCTGCCAATGCTGGGCTCAGTTCAGCTCTACTCATACAATCCAGCTGGACGAGCCAAAGGCTCATGCCCTCCGAAACCTCCAGTCAGGGAGGCTCCGCCAAACTCCACCCCTTCTTGCAGGCCAGAGGGCCTGTCCTTAGTCCTCTAGCTAAAGTGTGTGGTGTGTGTGTGTGTGTATGTGCCAGTGCCAGAGGTCAACTTCATGGGGCATTCCTCTGGAATCCACTTTACTTTGGAGACAGGGTCTCTCACTAACCTGGAACTCACCTGATTGGTTAGACTGGCTTGTTTCCACCTCCCAACACTGGGATTACATGCGCACACCACCACGCCTGTTCTTTTAATGAGTTTCGGGAATTGAACTTGAGTTTTCGAGCTTGCACAGCAAGTACTTCCCGGCCTTGGAAATACATATTTTTAAAAATGTTATTTACTTTTATTTTTAAAGTTTTTTAAACTTATTTTTATTTTATGTGTGTGGGTGTTTTGCCTGCATGTGTGTCTGTGCACCATGTTTGTGCCCAGTGCCCGCAGGGGCCAGAAGAATAAAGACAGTGTGAGCCACCAGGTGGTACTGGGAAACAAACCCAGGTCCTCTGGAAGAGCAGCCAGTGCTCTTATCTGCTGAGCCATCTCTTCTAACCCCTGGAAATACATTTGAGTGGCTGCCTCACAGATGGATCAACACTCTCCTGGTTTTATTATAGCACTTAGGACACCAGAAGTGTTTGGAGACATAGCTCTTGACATTTTAGCCTCCATTTCTGAGTCACGAGAAGTGGTAAAGGCAGCATTTAGGATGTACCTGCCATCTGCATTTTCATGCAATCCTCACAAAGACCATCTCAAATATGCTGGTGGAAATTGCATTGCTTTAAACGCCCTGCCCCCCAACAGAGTCTCACTATATTGTCCAGACTGGCTTTGAATTCAAGATCTCATTCCTGCTGTACCCTTCTGAATGCTGGGGTTCATAGGCTTGCATCACTACACACAATTTAAACTATTTTTCCTTCAAGGCTCTTTGCTTATTAAGTGCTTATAAAATATTTCTATGCTGGGTGTGGTGGTGCATGCCTTTAATCCTAGAACTCAGGAGACTGAGACAGATGGACCTCTGTGCATTTAAGGCTAGCTGGTCTACAGAGCATGTTCCAGGCCAGCTAGGGATACACAGAAAGACTCTTCCAAAGCAATAGGATGTTTTTAAGACATGTGAGCTAGGGAGATGTTGCAGAAGTTAAGGGCACTTACTTCAGGGGATTCTGATTTAGTGCCCAGCACACACATGGTAGCTCATGACTATTTTCCAGCTCCAGGAGATCTCATCCTCTCTTCTGATGTTCACTGGCACAGCAGGCATATGATGTACATACATGTATGCAAAACACTCACATACACAAAATAAAAATTAAATATAAATTTATTTATTTATTTATTTATTTATTTATTTATTTATTTATTGTTTTTCGAGACAGGGTTTCTCTGTGTAGTTTTGGTGCCTGTCCTGGATCTCGCTCTGTAGACCAGGTTGGACTCGAACTCACAGAGATCCACCTGGCTCTGCCTCCCGAGTACTAGCATTAAAGGCATGCACCACCACTGTCCAGCATATAAATATATTTTAGAAGACATATATTCCACCACTCCTGATGAAAAGGCATCCTAATCCTTAGCTAATTTATGTAAGCATGACTCCATAAAGCTCTAAGCTAGTACTCTTGTTCTTAAGAGCCTCTAAATACATTCTTTTTTTCCCCTTAATTCATATTTTATGTATGAGTTCTCTGCAAGCCAGAAGAGGGCATCAGATCTCATTATAGATGGTTGTGAGCCACCACGTGGTTGCTGGAAATTGAACTCAGGTCCCCTGGAAGAGCAGCCAGTGCTCTTTAACTGCTGAGCCATCTCTCTACCCACCCCCCCAAACACATTCTTGACTGTCTTTTTGGTTTGGTTAGTGTGGGGGTATTGGTTAGTGTGTGGCTGTATACACACATACACACAGAGACGGGGGAGGTTGTGAACTGTCATGTGTGTACTGGGACTTGAACCTGGGCCTTCTGAAGAGCAGACAGCGTGCTTACCCATTGAGTCGTCTCTACAAGCCCCTCCACCTTATTTTCTAAGACAGGGTGTCTTCTTGAACCTGGAGCTTTCTATTTCAGTTAGACTAGCTGATTAGTAAGCCCTTGGGATCCATCTGTCTTTCCCCTCCAGCAATGAGGTTACAGATTCAAGCCCTTGTGCCTGGCTTGTGTGCGGCAAATGTTTGTGGCGTATGCATATGTTGTGTGTGTGTGTGTGTGTGTGTGTGTGTGTGTGTGTGTGTGTGTGTGTGTGCATGCCCATGTGTTCCTGCTGAGGCCAGAGGAGGATTTGTGTGTTTGTTTTATCATGCTCTGCCTTATTCCTCTGAGCAGGAACTCTCACTGAACCTGGAGCTAGATGAGGGGCCAACTATCCCCAATGATCTGATTCTTCTGTCTCCACCCCTACACAGCACTGTGGCTACAGGGGTGGGTGGGGCCATGCTCAACTATTTACATGGGTTTTGGGGGTCCAAACTCAGGTCCTCATGCTTGCTCAGTACCACCGCACCACCCTGTACCTTCCCAGCCCTGACATTTATATCTTACAGTTGCGTATTACCCTATACTTTTCTTAACATAAAAACGATAACCAGGTGACTGAACAGACAGCTCTGCAGTTAAGAGCACATACTGCTCTTGCAGAGGACCAGAGTTCAGTTCCCGTATACATGTTGATGGTTCACAATCAGCAATAGCTCCAGGTATAGGGAGATCCAGTGCCTCTCAGCTCCGAGGACGTCTGCATTCATTTGTACAACCCCCATACACGTAACTGAAAATAAATCTTATGAAAAAAATTGATAACTGAGAGGCTGGAGAAATAGCTCAGCTGCTGAGAACATAAAACTGCTTTTGCAGAAGATCAGAGTTCGGTTCCTAGCACCTAGATTAGGAAGCTCACAGCTGCTGCCTGTAATTGCAGGGAATTGGATGCCTCTAGTTCCTCGGGCAACTGTACTCACATGCATATATATATACAAATAGACAAGAAAAACAGCCAAAGAAAAAGTACAAGAAATGCATAAATATGCAAAAACACATAGGCTCACACACACAGGAATCCCATAAAAACACAAAACCGGAAGCCATAATATATATGCAAAGGATCTGTAAGGTTTAAAAAAAAGTGTCCTGACTTAACATTATTAGACAAAGGACCTCCAAAGACGCTGTTGAGTTCATTTGGTGTTGGCCATCTGCTGTCTGGCACAGTGCCTACCCTTAAGAGTGGTTTGTTTGACCAATGGAATCGAATTGAAGACCCTGGCATTAATCCATGCACATATGAACACCTGGTTTTTGACAAAGGAGCCAAAACTATACAATGGAACAAAGAAAGTATCTTCAACAAATGGTGCTGGCATAACTGGATGTCAATATGTAAAAGATTACAAATAGATCCATATCTGTCACCATGCACAAAACTCAAGTCCAA